GGATTTTTTTTTAATATGCGTATAATAATAATTAATTAGAAAAAAAAAGAGAAAGAAGTGAACTACCTGTATGAAATGGTGATTAAGTGGTCCTATTAAATGTAACTACACTAACAAGAATACTTTAAGAGATAGTTTTAATATTTTTTTCTGTAAAGCATAGTTATATTTTACCATTTTGGGGCGGGGGGAGTGGGTTTCAGCCCGAAAGCCTCCCCCCTCCGCGCAGATCCGCCTGTGACGGCAAGAATTAATCCAAAACCAGTGATTTAATTTTAAAGACTTACGATTTAGCGTGTATGTATTATAATACGCTTGAATTAATAATGATCTCACAATTATCGAGTTCTAAGTCCATTTTGAATTCATTCTTTAATATTTGTTTTATTTACTAGGGGTAATCTTGGTAACCAGCCCCCATCTTAAAAATTATGTAATTGCAAAACTTGTTGCTCAAATTTTATAACTGTAATTTACATGTATTCTGTAGTTAAGATTGTGTTATTTTTTATCAACATAAAATAAACGGAACAAAGCTACAGTTCGGACAAATTATTAATTTCTTTAAAAATCTATATTATACATATAGATCCTTATTGCCAATTTATATCATTATATAATTATAATTACTAGTAGGACCGTGCGAATAATTCACAGAATATTTTGTTTAGTGAAGGGTTAACGAAAGAATACGTAGATCCTATGTATTCTTACAAAATTAATTTACTGCCCCTTCCTAATTATATTTACCTATTTATTATTATTTTATATCTCGTATGCCGGGATAATGCAATATCGTGATCCCGTTGCTCATCCTGTCATTAATATATCTTTAATCTATGTATATATTTTGTATGTTTTAGCTGTTTGGGTTTTAACATAACAAGTCAATACTTTTTATTTACGTACTTTTGATATTTTTTCTTTTCTGTTGGTTTTTGCTTTTTCTTTCTGTACATGTAATGCTTTTTTATTTTCCTTTTCTTTTCGTCATTTTTTCAAGTACAATTATAAGTATAGTTGAGAAGATTTTATTTTATTTTTTAATTGTTTACATACTATTATTTAAGTTGTTGTATATATTGTTTGAATTTGAATTATATTAGTTTTTGGCCAGATATGTATTTTTTCTTTTTTAACTGTTCATTATTGTTATTCTAAGGGGACATCGTCCCAGAATAAAGTTTATTTTCTATTTCTATTATGTTAGGGAGAAATTAATTGTTTTTCCTTGGTCGATTACAATATTCCATTAAACATAACATAATAAAATATTTGCGAAAATTGCTCTTCTAGGGCCTATTTTTAAACGTTGAAGAGAAAGATAACATAAAAAATAATGATTATGGGATTTTCTAAATTATTAAGAATATAAAATGTACCAAGAAATAATAAAGTATATATCAGTCGGAAAAAAAGGGTAGTACAACTGTAAATGCAGTATCTTCAAAGAGTAAGAAATTTTGAAGTATACCAAACTGCATCTGTAGAATGTATCTTTGTTAATAATTGTCCGATTTTCACTTTTTTTATATTTTTTAATCTTAATAACCATCCTGGGTACAATCAAGAAAAGAATGTATGCTTTTTGGGTTATTCACAAATATAGTTTATTTTCCTTCATAACCTTTTTCGGTGAGATATGACTATTTTTCGCATTTGAAGATCTTCAAAATTAGTGATCAATCATTGGATTTGTTGAAGAATTGTTGACGTACCGAGAAAAAAAAAAAAAAAAACACCTTGTAGAAATAATATATAAAGATTCTTATTGCCAATTTGTAAGAACAATAAATTAAAAAAAAAAATATGACACGGTCACTAAAAACTTTTTCATATAATAGAAATATTCTTCAACAACTGCGCGGCGTATCTGGTGAAGCAGTAGATCTCTGGACCATTTTCTTTTTAATCTTGTCGAACAGCTAACAGGGAGGAGGAAATTGATAAACTAAAGGAACGAGATGATTTTGAGTTCAAGATTGAAATGTGTATGTGTCGTGTATGTAGAATTGTATTTATGCAATGTTTTAAGTCCTGTAGTCCTGTGTTTCGAAATACATCGTGGACCATTTTCTATTCTTCGAATAATTTTTTAATGTGTTTGTTTTGTCTAACCACGAAGTTCTGTTCAAATTTGTCTCAGTATGGTGATGTTGATTAGTCGCTTGTTTCATTAGTTAAGTGAGGATCTGTAGTCTAGAAGATGTGCGAGTTGGTTATATCGTCTTGTCAGTTCTTATCTTTTTAATTTCGCATGCATATTCCAAGTAAAATCTTTTTTAATAATTGCAATAATAATAACAATGTTTTTATGTGAAGCAGACAATTATTATTATTATTAAATAATAACTAAATAACAATACTATTAAAAAATAAAAAATAAATGAGGTAAAATAACATCTTCAACTCAGGCATACCAATATATTCTAATCTTTTGATGGGGCACCTTTTTTTTTTTTTTTTTTCTTAATTTATTAAAGCAACAATAATGCTTTTAGGGAAGGTTATAAATTTTCCCTAGACCCTTGTTACATTTTGTATCTTAAGTATATATGTTATAATTTAAATAGAGAATATTTTGTCATTGTTCACATCATTAATTGGAACAAAAAGGGATAAATGAAAAAAAATTAAAATTTTTTCTTATGCGTAAATGGTATTCAGCCCTTGGTTTGAAAAAGCAAAGATTGAAAATTGTGAAAGGTTTATTATCCATCTTCTAAAACTATTATACATTAATATCAGTTTACTTGTCTGTAGATTTTCTAATTACGAGTATAACATAAATCAAAATTAGAAGAAAAAAAAATTCTTTGCTCTGGATATGCTTTTACTATTATGAGACAGTTCTACTTTCATGAGTTGTAATGCTGATCTTGGGTGACTAATCAGTGTAAATGAATATGATCTGTATCCCATGACAACTTTACTGTTTTTAGAATACATTCAAGAGAGAGAATCACTTTATTATCATAAAATAAATAAAATGGTGCTGCCCAATTACATTGGGTTGCTAACAACACAGCATACTTATTAATCACTACAGACATTATTTAAAATTATTATACAATTATAGGATTAACAATATGTATGAGCATAGTATACAATATTTTATACATATATATATATATATTATTTTTTTTTTTTTCCTTTTTTTTTTTTTTTTATAATTTTTACTATTTCTTTCATTCATTTATTATCATTCGGTACCCTTTCTCTTCCTTCTCTCCCCCTATACATGTTCCCACTCACACTCTCTCTTCTCTCTTTCTAACCTAATACATAAAAAATTCATAAAGTACAGTGGACGTGTTCAATAAATAATAATATAAAAAATGCTGTAACACACGCATGCCTCCCCCTCGCGAGCAAACTCTCCCCCTATCCGCTCCCATGCACATGGTGGTGGATGATTCCCAGGGAGTCGAGGATTATACTCTCTGCCAACCTTGCCACGTCCTTTATGTCGACACCAAGGCCCTCCATGAAGCTCCTTGTTGAGTCTGGTATCGTTCCGCGAGCTCCGAACCAAAGGCCTCTCACGTGGAACTCTCTCGGCCCGAAACTCTCGCGGAACTTTTCACTAAGGAAAGGGATGCATTTCTCATATATCTGTTTTTTCTCCCTTTCCACTTTTTCTGCCTGATCGAGGTCGTTGGTCTCATATCTCACGGTCGGATCCAAAATCATCGCCGACTTTCCCGTCTTAGGGAATGCTACAATGTCGGCATATCGGGTGGATCCATCCGTATCTATACAATATACTTCCTCGAAACAGGCGTATTCTCTCTCTTCAAGGAGCCTCATCAGTTCATGCTTGACTCTGTGGTGACGGCGTGTTATAAGGAGGGAGTTGTTGGGGCATTTTCCAAGCACATGTGCTGGTGTTTCTGGCTCTCTGTCGCATTTGCGACAGAGGGAACCAACTTCTCTTACCTGTCCGCTGACACCTGGGACTCCACGCAGGGGAGCATAATTAATATTTAGTTTCAGGGCATTTGACCATTCAGACCCAGAAAGTACTTGCTTATCATACATGTATTTATTGGCTTTCGGGGTCTCTTTAAAATGGCGAACTCCAATGCCCTGCCACCTGCAATTGGTCCATTCCTCAAACGAATTTTCTCGAAGCGACTGCCGTAGAGCTCTCATATTCCGAATACCCCGATCAACCCCCAATCTCTCGGCACATTCATCAACCTCAGCCGAATAATCAAAGATCGACTGAAAAAGGGCATCGGGCACATTGGACAGTCGCTGAGCAATGGACCAATGTTGTAGAGGAGCCTCCCATTGGCAGCGGATTAATCCTAATCCTCGATACCTCCTGGGAGAGTACCTCCTATAAAATAAAATAATAGAGAATTAATTTTTTTTTTCATTTGTCTATTTTTGTTCCTATCAATGATGTGAACCAAATAATAGAACAATTACAGCATATTCTCTTTTTAAATTATAACATATATACTTTAGCTACAAAATGTAATAAGAGTCAAGACAATTTTTATAACCTTCCCTAAAAGCATTATTGTTGATTTAATTAATTAAAAAAAAAAAGCCCATATAAAGTTTAGAATATGCTGGTATGCCTGAGTTATTTTACCTGATTTATTATTAAATTAATTTTTTTAAAGTATTGTTATTTAGTTATTATATCTCTACGTAGGACTAAAAGAACTCTTTACTTACTATTACCAATATTCTACATTTTAACAGAATGTAATATTTCTCAATAAGAGTAAAAAAAAAAAAAATGTCTGCTTCCTAATTTTCTAAATAAATCTGCTGATTTTGTTAAATTGATCCTTTTCTCAATACTCCAGTGCCTGCATGTATGAGGATTTACTTCTTTATTATGGTAAGCACAATTAAGTTGTTAAGCTCAGGAATGTTTTAAAGGAAATATTTCCAATTCCACAAATAAGGTGTCACAATATCTATGCATAATTTTTAACAATTTTAGTTTGTGATTTTGAAAAAATATACACTCAACTTTGATTCAGCCTAATTGTTTGAATTTGTTTCCACAGGTGCTGTGTAATATAGTGAGCATACTAGGTTACGATGGGTATACGACGTGCACAAAACCATTCAGAGGGGGAAAAAGCAGACTTGACGTACCTTGTGATTTCAACACACAAAATTGGTGTACGGTTCCTGGATCTTACTACCCTTGGTGAGCAATTTTAAATGGTACTTTCAATTGTATTTTATTTCACTATAGTTTTAATGTGTTTTATTAGAGCTGACATTTATTATTCAAAAATTTAAATGTCAGTTATATATTTTTTAAATTGTTAGAATATAATAAACATTTATTTTCAACTCAAAGAATTTTCATTAACATTTAAGATGATTACCTCAATATAGACTGTCGATAAACATACATTTTAAGGTTTAAACCGTGTACGTTGGTTCCAAACTTTTTTCTTTTCTTAATGTATGACACAGTGCGAAAATTAAGATATTTTAAACATTTAATTAGTTCGAAAATAAAGACATGATTGGCAATAGGGCAGGGCGTGTGCACCATGACTGAATTGATATTAGGTACCTCAATTTTAGAATTATTTGCAATATGTCAATTTATAGACAATTTTTGGGTCTAAATAGTCTTTGTTTTCTTTTTCTTTTCAGGGAAATGTATCGTGGACTATCCAGTCAGTAAAGTTTCTGATATTGAACTCCCTTGTCCCCCTTTTTCCTTTTATCTCCTCGAATATAGAATTTTCAAGACGGAAGAAGATCCAGAAAGGGTCTATCTTGAACTGAGCTGTGTTGAAGAATTTAAAAATAAGGTACAATAAATAATTTCTGTTTCAATAACGTAAAGCGGCCTCTAAAAATTACTTCTTTATCACCAATGTAGAACGAATTCGGTGGGTTTCGTTTGCTGAAAGTTAAATACATAAATTTGTCAATCATCATCGCAGACACGTAAAAAAATATATTAGGCGTTGGTTCATCTACCATAAATATAGTTGTAAATGAAATATTTATCTTCAATAGAAAGTTTTTAAAAAGAAAAGAAAAAAACAAATTCAAATTCAGTTTAGTAGTTTGGGAGCAGAAGTTGATTTTTTACCCCACAACTATAAAAATATGGAGAATATATTTAAAAAAAATAAATCATAAATATAAAAACACCATACCCCATATTAATTTACAAGTTTTTAACCCTAAATTAGACCCTCAAAAATAATCATTAGATAAGATATTTTGATTACAAGGAATATCTTGTGAGCTTGACAACAATTCCTTTTTTTGTAGAATTTAAAAAGTTATTTAAATTTTTAGAAAAATGGAATTTTCTTATTGCAGCATTTACTTTATAAGTACTAAAAAGTAGAGCTTGAAATGAAATAGTAACTTATAACTTTTAACCATAAAGATAAATTATATCTCTACTGTAAGCTGAATTACTGTTTATGTTTAGTTTAACTTTTTGTTAAGAACTTAAATAAATAATAGTTAAACTTTTACAATAAACCCAGAACTTTATCACAAAAAAATTCCTTAATTTTTTTTCCAAACGTTTCAAGCTCTGCTATAAAGGTAATAAATTATATTTCTAAAATGAAATTTCACCATCGACTAAATCAAAGTCAATAATATAATATTATTTACTTAAGTTTTAAACTAGAAAATAAAAATATTTGTTATGATAAATGTATAACTAATTCTAAAATAAATGTATTTGTAGGCGAGCTGTAAGGAGATTTGTGTATGAGAATCATGGCCTGATGCGAAGAATGTATGGAGCTGAAAGGCACATATCTGTCTTGCGTTCAGAAATAGAATCAAATGATGTTGAGTACCAAAGCGAAAAATGGAGCCAAGAATCTAATCTTAAACATTATAAATTGAAAAAGGAAGAATTTAAAACGACTCATAAAACTACAACCCAAGCTCCAGTGACAAATCGAACATCAGCTCCGGATATAACAACTTCTACTGGTCCAGAAAGTACTACAGAGTCTGATTTTACCACCACTGATTTTGATTTTGAAACTACAACTGAATTTTTGACTACTACAATGAAAACCGAGACTGAATCAAAACCGCAAATCTTTCAGGATACTCTAGAAAAATCTAGTACAACTACTGAGAAAGCTCAATTATTTTATAGAACAAAAGGAGTGTTAGTATGTTCAATCATATCTATTAATGATAGGTTATAAACATTTGTGATCTAAAAATTGATGCCTGTTTTTTTAGGAATGCATGTCCTGTGAAAGAGGAAGTAGTCGCACCCTTTTGGGCGAACAATACTAGAGGAGAAATACTAGCATTGCTGAACCTATACCCGTTCGAACAATATGTTCATTGGGAGAGGTGCACGTAAGTTTAAGAGATTTAAATAATTTATTTAGAAAACAAACAAGACAGGCCTGCAATCTGCTTGGATAAGTTTTTTTGTTTTAACTTGTTTTAACTATTTATTTTAAATGAATCTATAGGCTCTCATTAGACTTCCTTAACTTAATGGTTAAACTTTGACTAAATATTATCCCCCCTCCATCATTATTACTAGTTGTACACTTTTATCATCAAATCTTTCTAGCAAGATGAAAATTATCCATGGACAAAGCCTTCACATTCAGTGCTTGTGTCCTCTATGGGTGACTGATTCAAATACTGGTATGAACAAAAAAAAAAATTCTTTACAGAAAAATATTAGGATATATTCAACAATGATACTTTAAAGATTAGGATTTTTGGTCTGATTCATCTATTTAGATCGTCAGGTGACTTGAAGTTCATTGAAAAAATCTGTTTTTGATCAATATTTATTCAACAAAGTGGTTAGGATCACAAATAAAAAGCCTCCAATAACTTCAAGAGTTTTCTTCCAGTTTTTGGCCCAGTTCACATTACGTAGTTTAAATAAATTTGGAAACGATCGGAGAATGTGTTTTCATACCACTTAGGAAGCTTTAGAGCAAGTTGAACCACCAGAAAAAATTGACCCGTAAGATATTGTTGAAGCTAAATGAAGATGCAAGGTCTGCTATCAATACGCAGTATTAACAAGTTAACTGCTGAGCATGGTATCTCTTAAATGTCTTTTCCGATATTATCGGTCTTCGGCGACCGACACTAATTATGAAGTTTCTAACGGCATCGGACACCGGAGACATACATCAGTTTCCAGGTATCCCGCTATTTTTTGACAACAATGGTGAACTAAATTCCCTATTCAGAATCTCTATCTGTTGATTGTGTTCTCATCAATGACCAGCAATCGTAGGAGTGGACTCTGAGGTCCGATGCGTTTATACGACAGGGTTTTTTATTATTTCTCTTTACTTCAATAAACATATCTTTATTTTTAGAGATATAAATCTTATTAAATATTGAAAATGAAATGAGAAAAAGTTTATTGATTACAAATAATTATAATTTTCAAGATATAATTTCTACATTATTTATAGATATTTATTATCACATTTGTCTTTTTCTAAAATAAAACTTTTATTGGAAGATTAATAATACAATCTGCCTCAATGAAGGACATTGGGTATTAAGGCTCTATGCATAAATTCAGACATTTATATACAAACTTGAGAAAAAAAAATAAGAAGGAAACATGTAAGTAAAAAATATATAAAATAAAAAAATAACGAAACTATAAAATAGTTGTAAAAATACTCTCGATAATAATCAAATGCCTCTGATAAAAAATTTCGGAACCATCTTTCAGGCAATAAAAATTAAGCAATTTAGTTTATGATTTACTACTGCTTTATAGGTTGGTTTACATTCTGTATATTCTTGTTGTTGATAAAAAATAATATAATTCATTCATGTTTCCTGATGATACGGCAAGTAGTGTAAAACATATTTACAAGACATTAATAATTTTTTTATGAAACAGCATTAACTTTAATGACATTTACTTCATGAACAAAATGCAAAATCTTTTTACTCTAATACCATTTTAATTCCCTCATATGTGCCCTTGTTATTCATAATGATTAAAAGTTTCGCTTTGTTTCCTGAGTGTTAAACTAAATCTCTAACATATTTGAAAGAGATGTTTGCAGGATAATGGTGAGTAAAATGCAGAATTCTATAGAGTTAATTAATCTCTATCAAAATAATCCCTTCCCCATGAATTTTGCTTTAATTAACAATTTTATTGATTTATGATAATTTTATTATAATTAATACCTGTGAATATTTGTTGTTTAGGTTTGAAAACAAACAAATGTTCTGCAGAGAAGGATGTCGTTGTGAGCAGCAGTACCGGTTACACAGATTACTCGCATATGATCCTTCAAACGATTGCAGGGGCATTTTTTCAGATTGGTTTAAATTTCCGTCTTGTTGTGTTTGTCGCTGCTATGATTTACCTAGTGAGTTTAGACTTACATCTCGTTCACCAAGGAAAGACAACAGCAATCAAAATTGATAAGAAATTGAATCATAGATATGTGTATTAAATGAATGTACATTTTTTTTTAGTAAGGAAAAGAAAATACTTAGAGATGCCTATCTCATCAATGCTACATTTAATATTGCTTTAAATATTTATTAATAAAAACAATAACTACAAATAAAAAAATATCTTAATCATTGAATTCGCTTTCATAAAAATACAATAATTACGTTTTTAACATTTTATGTCATGGCCATGTGTATGATATTGTAATTACTTGTAAAATAATTATTTAACTATTGTAAATTATTTTAATAATTTAATGTAAGTCAATTGTAAATACATATATTTTTAAAAAGAATAAACTCTAAATGTTTTTTGTCTAACTAACAATATTTCATACATAATATTGCTACATCTTCCTGATTATCTTATATATCAGAGCATTGTATTGCAGTAATTAGGAAATAGTATTAAAATAAATATAGGAACAAAGACATTAAATTAAAATAAATATCATTAATTATGATTACATTAAGAGAGGCTACTTTTCATTAAGTCTATTATCAGATCTATATTACATTTTATTAACAGTACAGCCATTACTATCTTTTAGAACTCATATGCAAAAACCATTAAGTGAAATACTAGATATTGAAGACATCTTTATATTTAATATAAATTTCATATAGGCAATAACAATTAATGAAGGATCAGGAGAAAATGATATGTCAATTTTTCAGTCAAAAAGATGATTACCTTATTTCGGATATCAATGCCTAGTAAATCTATATTTATTGATAATATCTATTGTTATTATAGTCTAGACGTAACAGAAACCACTATGTTAAGCCGTACCTTATTTTTTTTTACTCAATTTCAACAGGAAGATTCATTTTTCTTAGATCCTTCATTACATAAGTCATTTCTTGTCATAAAAAAAAAAAGATTTAATCACCTATAAAATAATGAATATTTAGCATCTAAATTAAAATAGTGATAATATTCTTGAGACAGCCACATTGAGTTAACATGAAAATAAATGAAGATATGGGGTATATCAAATCTTTTTTTTTTTTTCTTCACCAGAGAGAACTGCTGAAACTAATATCAGTGGATAGTGGATAACTTAATTGATTAAATTGAGTTGATTTTATAATAATAAAAAAAAAATATGAACATTAGTTTGATGAAATTCTAGAAGCTACAAATTAAAGTTTATAAAACTATACTTAAAAAATATTTGAGGAGTTGATCGGGGGCTGCGATCAATAGTATTGCCACATCCCACGCCCTGATGAAGACCTGCAAAGTGGGTCGAAACGTCGGCATAAAAATTAAATAATACTACTTCTATAATTTAGTATTTATTTGACCGCACCCCCTGATCAGCTCCTTCTCATATTATATCACGGTCAACCATCTCTACCATCATTAAAAAATATTTATGTAAAAAGCCATTTGTATAGTTAACACATAAATTAATGTTGGTTACAATGCTTCTTTTATTGCTTTCTTAGACAAAAAAAAAAAAAAAAAAAAAAAAAAAAAATTGAATAAATATTTTAGAATCTCCTAACCAGTCTTTTAGTGTTACTTAAAAATCATTAAGCTCATTAAGCTAATCATACTGGACGGGTAAAGTCGAGCTTTTAGATAGACAAGTACCAATCAATTTTAGTATTTCTACTAACTATACCATGCTGAAGCGAGCACACATGGATAAATATAAATTCATTAATCTACAATTCATACATATTACAATTCCTGCATTTTTAATGAAACTGTACCTGAGATAAAAATATTACGTCTGAAAATAGTCAATTTTTTGCAGCATGTCTTTTATTGATGCGAATTGATGTCTAGTTACAGTAATAATTCTAACATAAATAACAATGTCAGATGTAATACTGTAGAATTTTCTATATAATTTATCGCAGAGATACAGAAATTTATTTCCTAGATTTTAATAATATATTCCTCTGTATTATTGATCCTTTACTTGGATTCAGTTTACTTTGAACTGGTAGGGACAATTTTTTTTTCCCTAATGGTATAAACTCATTTTGATACAATGAAATACGTTTATAGAACTTCAATACATCGGGATTGGCCCAAACCTGTTTAGGATGAAAGCCGATAACACGCAGACGTTTTAAATTTTTAGCTCTAGACAATGCCACATAGGCCTGCCCAGCTTCAAAAGTGTTATTTAAACATATTTCTACACAATCCAATGTTAGACCCTGAAAAAATAAATAAAATAAAAATAAAAGGTAAAGTTTAAAATATTAATTAATTTCTTTATGTACATAAAAGAATAAGAATGGGGGAATAAGAATGACATACAAATCTTATAATTAGAGTAAAAGCTTATAATTAGAGACATGACTTTTGTTATGTAATAAAAACCCAAAATTTTGTAAATACTTAAACATGCAAAAATCATAGTTTTTGTTTAATTTATAATATTTACATATGGCAATCTTATTTAATGTGCACCCTCTGAATTAAAATTTTATATATTAAAATAGGAAAACGAATGACTTCTTTCTGGGAAGGAACTAATTTACTTTTGATTTCACTCGACATCATTGATCGCAAAGAAACACATGTTGAACAAAAAATACATATATTCTAGACAAAACATGCGAAGGCCTCCTTTTGTCAAAATCCATAGCATTCCATGTAATCAGGTGGCGTTTTGTCAAAGAATTTCAATACAAGAGGCAGTAAGACTTATTTGTTTACGAATACTTTGATATTTGTTTTGAAACAGGTAAATAAATACATATTACTCTAAAAATATAATAGATACCGGTTTGGAACCATGAGAATAAGGAGCTTTGATTGCATATATCTACATCAAATTACAAGCACAATATAATTAATACGTATTCCCCAGCTGTACTATTATTCATAAAATAAAATTATGCACTTAAGGCCCTGAAGTAACAAAAGCCTCACTCAGCTTTTGAGACTTTGCTTAAATGTAAGTAATGTCTCCAACTTAAATCCTTTGATGTCCAGGTGTCCTCATGAGGGTAGGGATGGACATCGACAGTCTACCTAGTTCTGTCATAAATATTGTTACAAGAAAATATATACAGATTTCAACAGAAAACTTAATTTTTTCAAAATCTTTATTAGAAAATAAAATGTATATCTATAGAGAGAAAAACAAAAAAAAGAAATTAGTCAAAATGTCCTCCTTTTGCCTTGACACAAGCATTTGATCTCTGTGGCCAGTCACCAATAGCAGCACACAGCACTTCTTGAGGAAAGCGCTCAACTGCTCGGACCAGAGATTGTTTGAGATTTTCCAAATTAGGGTGTGCTCTGTGGCATGCCATCCTCTCCAGTTTGGACCAAAGCCGATAATGCTGAGGCAGAGATGAACTCAGAAATGTTCCTTTACAGCCACTGCTGAGTTGACTTGGCCTTGTAAGCTGGAGCGGAATCCTGCTGGAAAAGCGAATTACTTCCAGCAAACAGAGTATCATTTAGAGGCTTGACAGCAGGTTCCAAAATATCGTCCTGATAGATTTTAGCGGCTATTTTAACTCCTTTTTCACAAAAATGGAGCTTTGTGGTGTCATCAAAGCAAACTCCCCACCAAACCATCACTGAGGAAGGGTGATGACCTCTTTCCATTCTTCCAAAGACTCCCTGGGCTTCTTTAGAGCTGTGTGCGTATACACGATCATTTTCACGATTAAATTTTTCTTCAATTGTAAAAATTGTCTCATTGATAAACAAAATCTTTCGATGAAGACCATTGGTGTAATGGCTAAGGAACACCGCATCTATCCACTCTATTTTTTTTTAGGGAAGTGGTTAACCTTTGTCCTGTCATTCTTGCACCCATCCTAACGTCACTTTTTATTATGTGAGACATTAATCTGACAGATTCCCATTTCCTGAGATATGATTTGTTGTTTTCGATGATCTAAATAATACCCGAGGATGTAAACAAAGTTCAACTTTTGTAACAGTATTTATGGCAGAACTACATATATTATCATTCTGATTTTCGATAATTTACCATCAGTATGTCCTTTCATATTGCCTATTGATATCCTTCCTTCGATATTTTAATTTAAAAATATAAATTAAAACTATCGTTTTTGGAAAGCGCTAGGTAGTACATATGAATCCGATTGTTAGAAAAAAATTATACTCATCTTGCCTGTTTCATATAAAATGAAGTGTATAGTTGATATTTCAATAATATTGAATATTGATGGCTATCTCTAAGTAGAGTTCATAGTGCGCGTGGGACCCTTCTCACTCAGGTAAACTCAATTTGCCCTAATTTCTTAGTTAGAAACCTCTCAAATCAATGCCAAGAATTATCAAAGAAATCTATGTAGGATGCAAATAAATCCGATCTATGGATGAATAAAAGGTATAATTGGTTGAGTGTAAATTTCTGCAAAAATGCTGAGGATTATGAAGATGGACAGAAACTAGAAAATTATTTTACTAAGGAGGGCAAAAGAACAGATATTTCTATTTCTATTTAAATTAATTTAAAGAGGGAAATAACATCTTTTTTGAGGCGTCTACGTGTTAAAGAATCAATGTTTATAATGTCAATGAAAATATCGACTATAAATATGTTAAGTTCGATATTTTGATGGAATCGATAGTTATTGGGTATTATTAATATCAATATTGAGCCTTCGATATCCCATCCCAGAATGAGGATAAGCTAATTGACTTTTGTCAACTGTGTAAGGCATTCTAGGATGTTTCATAATGTTTGTGTTCCTATATGAACTCCGTCTTTAGTTCACAAAGCGATTCTATGTAAATTATCTTATATATCTTAGTAGCTGTCTAAAACTATTTGTTCATTAGGTCATTTGAGGCGGTTTGCTGTGGCCTGACAAAGCATCTCTCTTGAACAAAACCTATCTCATTCTCAATAATAATTTTTGATTAGAATCATATTTTTTAACTACTTTACAAGCTAGAACAGCCTAATATGGTTTATTATTTAGAGTGAACACTTGGTAATAACCAGTTAATTTTATTTTTAAATAGACAAATTAGAAAAATAATTTATCCAGGAAATTAGTAAGATAAACAAGAATTCTAACCTAAAGGGCTACGTCCAATAGGTCAGTGTGAAGTTTTACCAATAAAGTAACACTACTGGCCCTCCACAACAACCTAATGGATAACTAATTTAATAGTTACACAATGTCATCATGTTAGCTTCAGCTATTATTAAAAAAAAAAAATTAAATGAGTATTACCTGAGATTTGTGAATAGAAAATGCCCACGCAAGCTTTAATGGGAGTTGTTTTCTTGTCAATAACATTCCTTGTGGTGTTTTCGTGACCCATTTCTCCTCTTTTACATTATAACTAATTCCAGATAGAAATTTAACAACTGGAGTGCCTGATTAATAAATTTATTAGTTATCGTTCTGAGTTATTTATAATAGATAAATATCAGATAATTATTATACCATTAACGAATTTCTGCACAACTCCTCTTGCTCCGTTAACAAGACCATTAGATACATTTATATTTTTCAATAGCATAACCTGCGCTCCTTCTTTCAAGAAAATCTGTTTCTCCACTGCCATACAATCGTCTAGGAGTTTTGTCACCCCTTCAGGACTGTCAGTGGCTTCAAAGACTTTTACATTACCTTTAAAATCAAAAGAGCTTATTAATAACAACGTGTACTATTAGTGCATATGTATTAAGCACATACAAATAAAAATAACCTATATAAAACCAAAAGAGAAGAAGAATATATATACAGGTAACTTCAGAAAAATAATTGAAATATAACAGAGAAGCAAGTAAATATACTTTAGCCGAAAAGAACATTTACATACTAAGGGACAACTAACCGGGAAGACTTTTAAGTTTTGAATCATTTATTTCTTTAGCTTCTTTTGTATAACAACATAGCCTAGTTGCTAGAATACCTCCACCTTCAATATTTTGAGTTGCAGTATCTTGAAGAATTTTAGTGAGCTCAGGATTGACTCTAAAAAAATAATAATAAAAAAATAAATAAAACAAAATAAATTAAAACAATTTAATTAATAATATAAACTATAAAATAAGTTTATGGGAAACATGATGCTTTTCTCAACCATAAAATAAACCATCAAGTTATATATAACATGAAATGCAATATTTTTAGACAATCTTAAGAAGACAAGAATAAAATTTTTTGAAATAAAAAAAAGATATAATAAATTAACACTTACTCTCCAAGTCTCATTTTATTAAGAATTGAAATAAACTGAGAATCATTCTGTCGATGAACTTGCTTAAGAACGAATGTAGTGAAATTGCATTTGTCCCAACTTTCACTCATGAAGCAAAACCTTTTTTTAGAATTTTTAACGGGAGGTAATTGTAAAAAGTCGCCGCAAACAATAACTTGAATACCACCAAATGGTTTGTCATTTCCTCTAATCTGTCTTGCGACCCACTCGATTTTCTAAAAAAAAAAAAAAAATTAAATAAATAAATAAAAATAAAATTAGGTTAACTATAATTTAGGAGTTCTTAGTTACATTTGTTTTATTTCATCTAGTTGAAAATAATTCAACAACTTTTAACATAAAAATAAAAACCACCACAGAAGTTAATTAATTCAAATTTAAAATTTATAAAAAGATATATTAAGTTAATTGACCAAAGGGGTAGGATTATAAATATACTAATTTTTTCGATAAACCAAATCTAATTAAATATTGTGATATTATTTCAACGGTATCCTTTTGAAAATAAATTCAGTCTACTTCGCTGCTGTAGTTCTTTTTGGTTATAACACCGCACCAGTTATTATATGTTTATCTGTTATCATTACATTACTCTCCTTAAATGATTTATACTTTTGACCCTTATACTAAGTAAAACTGAACCAGAAGAGGGTAGGCATTTTACTTATGACCTAGCATAAATATAATCTGAGCATCCAGTCCTATACGGACCTACGCAGTCTTGGAGCTAGTACAAAACTCATACCACTATCTGAGCATAGTTAAATTCCATGTATTAAAATGTCAAGACCCAGCACATAAAAAATGCTAAGTCTCAAAATAGAAATAATGAAGAGCTCACGCATATATGTTTCATTTGAAGAGTAATTTACTAAATTAATAGTTTCAGAAATTACTCCCATCTGGGCTAAACTTACTTCCCATACATTTATCAAAATGACTTATTGGTTCCAAAAAGAAGTTGTTGCCGGTTATTTGCTAATAAGCATAATACATACAATTTTATTACGGGCTCTGTCAGAGATAATTTTTTCCAGTAAGTTAACTGATTGACTGAGTAGTGCATAGAAATAAAATTATGTTTAATTTTGAATTAAAAAAGGTATTTGATATAGTACTAATCACTTTCCAGTATTGAACTGTAGGATCAATTAAATTTCCTTTACAAAACAGACTATAATTTACATTTTCAGTTACCTCAAATAATTCAGAATCAATCATGGAAATCTCATCAATTATAAGATGTTTACAATTTCTCCAGTTTTGTTGCACGTTGGGCCTTTTCGCTAGCTGTAAACACTTGGCTAAACTGCCTTCACCATCTCCAATACCTGTTAATAAATAAAATTTTAGTTAAATAAGAAAAGTTGAGAAAAAATTACTCAGAAAAAAATATATAAAATAAAATAAAAAAGGCATTATTAAGGCATATATTAAACAATTAAATCACTTTTAATATCTTCAATTTAATGAATTAACTAGCCAATTTAAAAAATGAATGACTATCAGAAATGGATCAAAAAATAATATGAAGGAGTAATCACTGAAAAATGCAGTGGCTGTCATAGAATTTATCTGTTCACTATTGACAGATATTATTTCATTTATATCCTAATATTATGGTAATTTACAAATTGTTTTAATAATGCTTAATCTTACTTCAGGTGCTTATAAAAAGTTCATCACTGATGGTCAAATATTCTCATCATATATACACTACAAGTCACACCGCAACAGTATTTGTGAACTATAGAACTTTAATAATATTTTGGAAAGTGGTTATTCCTGTTAAAAGTAAAACCATTTACTTGAATAACTATACATTAATAAACATTGTTATGTAGGAAATTTAATAATTCATTTGATGATAATTTATTTACAAGCTGGATGCCTCAAATAACAGATAATTTACCTGCAAATGAATGGAGAGTTACTCCCCCTATAAGACAAGCAGCTGAACCGGTACTTGCAGTAGCAACTGTCATTTCTGGAGGAAGGACGTTTATTATTGATTGAAGTAAATATGATTTACCAGTACCAGCACTACCTAAAATAAGTCATACAATTAAGGAACTAATTAATTATCAACTATGGCAGATATAATTATAATTCAATACATATTTATACCTGTGAAAAACACATTGCAGCCTTTTTGCACTTCATGCAAAACTCGTTTTTGCTCATCAGTAATAGAGGGGGCATTCGCTTCAGAACAATGCCTTTTCGCTTCAAGATCCTGTAAGATCAAAAGTTCACAATGACCTTAAATAAAACCACTATATTATTTTAATGATAAAAATTTCCATACCACATCAACACTTTGGTTTGGTCTCTTCAAGTTAGAGTTACTGTCCACAGCCTTAATACGATTGACATCTTTAGCATTAACGGGGCTAATCTCTTGAACACACCTATCTTTAGTAGATAAAAGCTTTTCCCTAACACTAGCTTTCGGTGAACTTTTAGCACTACACAACTTAATAAAAAGTATTTTTAGGAATGAAATTAATAAAGCGGGTGGGGCATTGTTAATTAGTAAATTTATTTTAGATAATGGAAACATTATTGTTGCTTTCCCTTCATTAGCAAATTTCTTGTGAATAACTACATCTTTAAGTAACAATTTCTGATTTACTTCCTTTGATTGCACATACATGAATAGATCCCGAAATTCATTTCTAACTATTTGTAATGAACAAGTTTTCACTTTAACAGATTTATTAATTGTTCCACCAGCAGATAGCCACTCAATTGAACAGCTACAACTAATATTAGAATTATTGCTTATAACGGCAGTCATAATGAGTATTTATTCTGAAGAAAGTAAAAAACTCATACCAATAAACTTCTAATTGAATACCATAACAATTATCTTTAATTCACACAATTACTTATCTTTCTCGGCGTATTGTTATATTAACATCATTTTGAAAATATTGGCGGTCAATCAACACAAAACGGAACGCCAAAGAGCTAAGTTTTACCATTTACGAAACAATTTTTGGTGATTACACATATTCAAACAAACATGTTATTAGGTGGCGCCACATAGACCCTTTTTTCTCTTTTTGTTTGTCAACATAACTAGTTTTGCCATAAATAATGTTACAAAAGTTGAACTTTGTTTGCACCCTTGAGTATTATTTAGATGAGGTTATTTCCTTTACATGTCAGGATAATAATCCAAATTAGTTTTCATTTTTCTTTTGCTCATTTAACATGGAGTGTGGTGATAAAGGAAACCGAATAGCTGTGATTGCCTTACACAAAGTTGGAAAATGTAGGTCAGAGATGTTCGTTTACCGCACTATAAATAGATATAATGAGACCCTATCCTGTATGTGACAGACCTCGATTGTGAGAACGGCAAATACAGTGAGAGCAGTGGCTGCTCGAATCAGAATTAATTCCATTAGAAAAGAACAAATCATGTTTCGGGAAACGTGTCTCGCATAATAAAAAGTGACCTTAGGAGGGGTGCATTTCGAAGAATGAATGGACAAAGGCTAACCACTTCCCTTAAAAAATTAGAATGGACAGACGCGAAGTGCTCCATTGCCGTTACACCAATGGTCTTGGTTTTGGGTTTTCCTGTAGGATTCCGCTCCAGCTCACAAGGCCAGGTCAACTCAGCAGTGGCTGCAAAAGAACATTCCAGAGTTGATATCTGCCTCGGATTGGCCCTCAGGAAGCCCTGATCTCAACCCATTAGATTGTCAGCTTTGGTCAGAACTGGAGAGGTGGCATGCAACAGGGCACACCCTAACTTGCAAGCCTCAAACAATCTGGTTCAATTCACAAACAATACTGGTTCAAGTAGTTCTGCGTGCTGCTATTGATGACTGACCATGGAGACCAAATGCCCGTGTCAAGGCAAAAGGGAGGCATTTTGGGATAATTTATTTTTTCTTTTACTGTCTATAGATATGCATTTTATTTTCTAATAAAGTTTTTGAAAAACACAAAAATTTTCTGTTGATATCTGATATATTTTTCTGGCATCCCACACCGACCGGGCATATGACTGATGACCCTACCCCCGTGTACTTAAATCGGGATGTGGTGTAGGAGACTACACCTCGCGGACAAAAATCTTCATGGTCTGTAGCGCTAACCGAAAAAAAAATAAAATAAAAAAAATATATATTTTTCGGTTGGCGCTACAGACCTTCAATCTGACCTATGTCTCCTAGATCACATCCCGATTCTCGATTTAAAGTATGAGGTAGGATCATCAACCCTACGCCTGGTCGGTGTGAGTTGCCTCCAGTATGCTGACGGGCCTCACATTGCCGGGGGGGGGAGAGGAATCTTGGTAGCGTGGCTTTCCTTGGTGGACGGTCACCCATCCAAGTGCTAGCTATTCTTAGTCCGCAAGACTAACCCAGCCCCCGTATGTATATATATATATATATATATATATATGACTAATAAAAGTATTAAAATTTTATTTTGTTTTTCGGTTCCTAGGTCTTATTGACAAGAACCCTTAGACAATGGTATAACATTATTCTACCTAATATCACCAAAAACAGTTTCACTGAAATCGGTGCCTCCATAGCCTCCCCTTGTTGTAATGGTGATAGACTCCTCTAACAATTATTAAGTTATTTTCTACCTGAGAACCATGCTCAACACCCAACATGGGAAGTAGGACAAAATCCTAAACTCAATGTTGAGATCATTAATAAGCGTTGGAAATCCAACAGACCGTTCCTAACCTTTTCAAAGTAATGGTGGGTAAGTTTCAAAAATCAGTACTGATGAGCATCATTAAACCATCAATCAATTAGCGCTGAATTTAGGAATATGTCAGTAGTAATTGTGGATTGATGGTTGACTGTAGTGAATAATAAATAAAGAAGAATCACTCTTAATTGATTTCACACCAACCATTCTCCTCTTCAATGTCAGTATTAGTACCAAAATGGAGATGGTTTTGAACTAGTCATGAAGCTGCTCCAGAATACCTAATGTACCCTAGATTATACTTACATTTGGCTAGTTAAATCTGGTTGAAGAGGATTAATTTGACCGGAAATCCCACTTCTGGCTCCAAGTGTTTTGTTATATTTATAGCAAAAAATTTCTTTAATTTTTAAAAAATTTACTATCTTCCATCATAGATAAATATTTTAATGTAAAAGTAGTTTTAAATGTTATGGTTTGCAACATTCTTATTTCTATTTAACCAATAAAAGTTAGGGGTTAATAAATAGATAAAAACATACAGGATTTTAAATCTTGAAAACTTTATTTTATTTAATGCTGTGGGCTAATTTTAATAAAAATGAAATATTTTGCCTGTTTAAATACAATACTTTTTGTTGGATGCGTTGATTCCAACATAGTATGCAATTAAATGATTGACTGAATTTTAAAAATGAAAACCCTTCGACCATCAATAAAAATCAATAATCATTCAGGCAAAGAGGTTATTGTTTATAAATAAGGTTAGTAAAAATCTGCAAAAAAATAAGTAAATTACATAAAATGAAACTCGAGTTTTTTCTACTTGGAACAATTAAGAGATCTGATATGTTGGCTGAGCTATTATGGTTGGAGGTAATAAGCTATTTTATTACCTCGTAACATTTCTAACCGTACGTAATTATTTGTCAAAAATGGACTTGAACTCTGACTCAAGTGGTAGAAATACTAAGAAACCTTCACAATGGTGAATAGTTGTGAGAGAACCTCAGCAGTTTTTTATTATATGTGTCAAAAACACAGATAATCATTAAAAATACATAAAATAATAAGACATAGGAGTTCATAAAAATTGAAATAATTATTAAAGAAATATTTATTTTTATTTCTTGCATATGTTATTAGATAATAATGAAACCACAGTTCACTTTCTTAATTTTTTTCCTTTTGTGATATAGGCAGTTCTAGAAGGCACCTTTCACTCTGTGAACAGAATTTAAATGATAGTTTCTTTTGAATTAGTTATTATAACTACCTACTGTTTCAATTATTGAAATAAATGAATAAATTAACTATTATTAAAATAGCAATAAACAGATTTTCTGAGAAATATTTATTTAATTTACCCAATGTAAATATCTTCCATGTAAATTTAACTTACTAGAAATTTCAAAAGGAAATAATAAATACATAAGAAATAGATAGTTATGAATGAAGTAACTACTATCTTCAAATAAATATAATTATTTCATTTAGGATAAACAAAAAAATCTTTAAACAATTAAACAAATGTTGGAAACTTCAATCTGTTTATTAATATAATCTTAATTTTATGTATAAACAAATCAATTACAATAAAACAATAAAATAAAATAAAAAAACGACTAGAATAGGTAACTGAAAGTTTTAGATCTAAATTTTATATTTTTAAATTTAAAAATGACTTATGATGAGTGGAAGAAAAACAGATATTTAGCGATACAATACAAATTGTATTAAATTTCAATTTCAATTGGCAATTAAGCTAATATTGGTATACAGTTTAAATAAACTCCTCGGTATAATTAATAAATTGTAATGAATTTAAAAATACACTGTCAACTTCAAAGCAGTAAAGCGGAGACTGTTTTGGACAAGATTGGAATGACAGCTAATTTTTGAAATTGACACCAGTATTATTTCAGTCAAGTTTTGAGCAACTGTCCCTCTGACAGCGGCAGGCTAAATTTAGTTTGTTTATTACCTGTTACAAGTTAATATTTACGAATAAAATCCAGATTAATAAAAAAGTTAAACAAATATTTTTAATAGTTTTTCTCTATAATGAATCATAAGTTTTTAAATTTGGCAACAAAAATAAATAAATAAATAAGCCAGGTACCAATTTGACAGAATATCTTACGAGTCCATACAAATTTAAATATAAAATAGTTCTACCGTTAACTTGAATTTTTCCTCTATTAAGATAAATAGGGCATAATTATATTTCAAATGAGGAAAATTCAATTGAATGAAAAATCTTCCCATGTACAGAATGTGTAAATTTATGCAAATGATTTTGTTATTAATTTACAAAGAATACTAGAAATGAACCTGAAGATTTCTAAATATTTAAAGGTTAAAACCACCTATTAACTCCACAAAGTTTTTGCAAATCACTTAAATATATATGAGGTATTCAGAATAATAAAAAACAGCTAAATTCAGTTTTCACCAAAGACTTGAAAATATAAAATTTCAAGAATACCGTATAAATTTATCTTACCAATTTATCCTAGGTATACGTCCAATTTGGTAGTATACGTCCAATTTGGTACTATATATTTTTATGATGGTGGATAAATTGTTGACTAGTGATTGATATACGAGAAATTGGTCGTTGATTGCAGTAATGGATGTAAACAACAATAAATTATATTTATTTTCTTTGTATTAAAGTTTCGGTTTAAGTGTTACGCTTTCATTAGGACTGCTTGTTCAAAGTAATTCGGATGAGAATCAGTTCTTCCTTTGAACGAGCAGCCCTGATGAATAGCTGAAACTTGTGCCGAAATGTTAACACAAAGAAAATAAATATAAATTATTTTTGCTTATTTACATGACTGTAATCCCCAAACAACTTTTAGTATAAATAAATTTTTAAATTCTTGAAACTTCAGTTATTTTTATATTTCATAAATTTAAGAACTCCTTGATATTAAGTATGAAAAGTGAAAATATTAATAAATGAAATTTCAAGAATACTATATAAATTTATATTATATCTAATATAAGATATAAGAAGAATTTGGTTAATATACATTTCTATATTATTGAAACTACAGTTATTCATATTTTTATTTTTTATACATTAACCAATTCCTTAAAACTTTTTTATAACTTGATTATGTTTTTATTAAAGCTTTATTAATGCTTAGAAGCTTTTACTAATGAGATTATTAAATAAATTATGTAATAATCATACATAAAAAAATTTCAGTGATCAAATCAATATTAAAAAAAAAAACTTCTGCTAAAAATAATATAAAGAAATA